TGCCGGGAAACGCTGATCTTCACGTGGCTGGGCAGCGCGTTTGACTGCAAGCAAGGCACAGACACGAGGCTTTGTGCAGGTCAGCACAGCAGCTTTCCTCTCCCGAGCCTGCCCACAGGGTCAGGCCATCCACGAACCTGTCCCAGCGCAGCTGGCTCAGCAGCCCTCCTCGCCCTCGCGCTGCACAGGGCCCTGGTGCTCGGTACTCACGTGGCAGAGAAAGCGGAACTGGTGGTATTTCCAGCGAAAGCTCCGGTCGTACGCCCCAGGGGAACCACCTTGCTTGCTCCTGCAAAAGCAACGCGGGCCTTGGCTCAGTTCGCAGCCCCACACCTCCCCGGGCTCCGACTCGAGCTGCCCTGCCTCAGCAGCCAGCAAGCTCACCGCCGGCCAGGCGGGAGGAAGAGGCTGGCTCTAGCACTGGCCACCTGAGCTGCACGTAGGGAGCTCTCCTCTGTCAGAGCCACACGTAAGCTCCTCAGCCCACACCTCGAGGTCCTTGCGACAAACAGACCCGTTTCTCCAGCCTGTGCTGTGAGAACACGCGTGGAAGGGCTGCGAACAAGCAAGGCGAGCCCTAGCTCCTCGTGCCGCGCTCCGACTGCGAGCCCCCCGGCTCCAGCACCAGGGGCTGGCACCAAAGCACTCACCCGGACTCGAATCCGGGACGTGGGTCTTTGAAGGTGGTGGTGCGAGTGTTGTGGTCCACGAAGTAGCGCACGCCCTCGTTTGTGTACTTCATCTCCCAGCCAGGCGGCAAGGGCGGCTCCTGGATCATCCTGCCCGGCACAAGCAAGACGTTCCTGAACAGGCAGCTCGGGGGATCTCTGCTCCCTGCAGGGCCTGGTTCCTCGCGCGCTCACCCTGAACCGGGGCCCTCCTGTCGCTGCCCTGTGGGACTACCTTGAACTGGCAGCTCTGCGCCAGGGCAGACGAGCCCTTCCACGGTGCAGAGCTAGCGAGCACCTGCCTGCGCTCCCAGCCCCGGGACAGGCCAGGCCGCAGCCCTGGGAGGAGCCTAAGTGAAGCCCTGTGGGAAGGCATCTCCTCCTGCCCAAACAGCCCTGCGGTCTTCCCCATCGCCGATTGCTCAGCCCCGGGGCCTTCTAGTGATCTCCTGACCGCTCTGCTCTGCTCCCGCCAGCCCGGCGGCTCCCCCGCAACGCCAAGCCTTGCGGTTTCCCGCTGCCCCATGCT